TCTAAAAACATTCACACAGAATTAGCTAATCAAAATTAAAAGAATTTATTATTGCAATCAATATTATTGCAATCAATATTAAATTCAAGAGCTATTGACCACATAAGTTTGATTTTGATGGTTAAAACTTCTGAAAAAATTTCGCTGAAGTTCTAAACATTTTCAACTCCTATTTCTCTTAATACTTAATATACTTAATACTAATAATACTTAAAATTGTGTAATATCTTTCAGTAGTTCAATTACACAATATAGCTAGTTGTAACTCTCAGAATTAATTATATCTTGAAACTAGAATTAATTGTACATTCCAAAAAACAATTTTAAAATTTGAAAATGTGTTTTTAAAAGGTGTCGTGTTGTTGAATAGTACTCTATCCTCACAAATGATTTAATGAAAAACATCGGATAACGAAAATTAAAAGCTCAACCGCAAATTCAAGATGGACACGAAAGAGAAAAACAAAACAAAAATCGAACGAATAACTAATAAGGAAGGCGAGACTGAAAAAGACATACTTCCAAGCTTCATCAGGCAATCATATTAGTTTTGATAATTTTTATCTCACATTGATTCATCAGATTTCCGCTGCGTTTCTGTTCATCCTTGTGTTATTTATCTCTCATGTTGACTTGTGGCACAAATTACCCTGACTTTTTTTAAATGATATTTTTGAAAAAATTCTGAAATTATATATTGAAGGCTGTCATTACGAAATGTAGTTCAGCGTCTTTGGTTTATGAAGTTGCTGTATAGAAACACTATAAAAACTTTATACTCAGTTGCTGGTTCTGAAAAGGTCATTGCGGTATACGATATAAATATTCATCCGCGACTGCATATAGTTCCGTTTCATTTCGTTATCAAATTATACAAATATGCTTTCAAAACTATATAAAAGCCTTTAAAAGTTAAACACGCCAGACAGAAATTTTATTCGGGCTATCTTTAACGATATACATCACAGAATTGTTAAAATAAGGTCATAGTTTCGTTCTCGTACTGGAATCCTAGATTTGGCGACATAAAACTACAAATAAGGAGAACATTGCTTCTTAAAGAAGAAATAACCATATGACGTTACAAGAGCATTGGATTTGATTGGACAACTAAAAATGTCTTATTCTGACATGTTCTTAAATCAAATACGAGATAAAGAATTTTTACTTTTGATTCGCTGTAGAAGAAAATCGTCAGCAAGAAATAAAAATTATTATTCTTTAATTAAAAAATATTATTTAGATTGATGCAACTCTCTATTTTTACAATAAACAAAACAATAGTTTTTATTCAATAAGTTATGTTTTCCTTATTTCACACAAGAAACGCAGTAAAAAGAGGCTGTGCAACTGCGTTTCGTGAGTTCACGATGTTGATATACTTTCGCTCTGAGGGCTTGGCATCTATTTAGCGTGCACTTAGTTGCAAACAAGCTCTCTCCATAGAAATAGTGTTTTTTTTCTTTACTTGCAGCAGAGTGTATTTCAACGAAAACTAATCAGTGGTAACTAATTTGCACCAAAGTGGTGCTGAAAACGCCATTTCGGATCTAGATTTCCAGAACACCAATGCTCTTTTATATTTTACTTGGTACAAAGTAGTTCTTCCACCATCTATTCAGTAACACTTAAATTTATAATTAAAGTAAGATAAGATACACATAGGAGTCAGTAAAGTTATTTTTGCGGAAAATTGAAGAGTAAGAATCATAAAGTTAGGATTCATATATACAATATTTCTTAAAATAAAGTTTGTTAATCAAACATACGTGTAGCACAGAGAAAATATTTGCATGAATTAGAATTAGGCTTAACAGAACGGAAGCAACATAAAAATTATACATTATAAAATCCTTCAGAGATTTAAAAATTAAACTATAATTATCTCAATTATATAACTACAGTTACAGATTTAAAGGCGGATTTTTGTTTCTGATGATAAATAACATGTTGTGTTGGGGAAAAAACATTCGAGAACTCATTCCAAATAATTACCGAACTCTATAGCGATATTCTACTTGACGTTTCTTGAATTTTTAATAATCTTGAAGCGTTAAAATTTGGTTAAGATTATTCAATTTCAAGTGTTTAGATTTAAATCGCATCCTTTAAATCCTATATGAACACTCATTTGGTTATCAAGCTTTTTGGTTGTCCAACATCATATTCGAAGGGATATTACACCACAGTTTTTGCCGTGTAGTTCTTACTTCTATGATAATATAATTTATAACATGTTTATCCTATGATGCGATACTTTAATTAATCATTGGTGAACTATCTTACAGTGTTAGTTTCTTATAGCCGATTTACAATGGTTTAACATGTAATCTGTTAAATTTAAGTAAATCGAATGAGAAATGCAGAAGTTATTTCATAACCGTCGTTGAACAGCCAACCCAATTTCTGGGTTTACTGCTGCTAATGTTCAAATCCGTAGCCTTATAATTTTGAACCCTATCCAGAAGACAAGGGAATTCCTGGATCAAGTATTGGGAGAATTTTGCCTTCGTGGAGGACTTTTTGATGGAACTAGCCCGAAATTGCGTTACATGAAGAGGAAGACCACGAGAACCTCTCATGGTTAGCCTGACGGCAAGGGGACTCTAACCCATGATCCGTCTACCACTGAGGATACTTCACTTCACCACTGTGGTCGGTGCAAGCAGAAGTTATTTAAAAATATATATAGATCTTTTACGAAAAAATGACAACTAATATATTTTAGTTCCGCAGGACCGCAAAAAAAGGCTTCGCTGGTTGGATGTGGCCCGCGGGCCGCCATTTGGTAACCGCTAATCTACACGAACACACCTTTTCGCGGTTTAGTGGCACAAGAGCCAGAATCAGCTTATACTGCACAAAATACTTGTTGATTATTGTTAGAAACGTGTTATATAGCATTGCGATGGATGAGGTTAATTATCACAATAATTACCATACATCGAAATAAAAAATTGTCTAATTTATCTTTATTTATTTGATAAAAAAGCACATTGTTCAAGTTTGAGACTTAAATTTTGGTTGGAACGCGTTCTTTCTCATGACTGTCAAATACCTTTTTTACCCTTAATTACCCCGACACTAATAAAATATCAAAATGAAACCATTTTAGTTTTTCTATTTATTCCATAAAAATTTTAACTTTCCAACTTAATGGGGTGTGGAAGAAGTGGGTATGAGTGAATGAGGACTTTGACTTTTATAAATACGGATTTTAAACATGTTGTAGATAAAACATGTAGAATTACTTAAAAATAAATATACATGTTTTTATTCATTATGTAATCAATAAATTTACTCGATAGAAGTTATATAATTAAATAAAAAATATAAATAAATTAAAATTTTTAACCTGATAATAATTTTGCCCTAATAAATAAAACATATTAATTATTTGTATCCAAATTTTAAAAATATGTTTCTTTAACTATTTGACAAGGAAATTTAACTAAACATATTTTTCATTTTTTTAAAAATTATTTTGTATTACTAATTTAGATCAAAATAAGTGAAAAATATTACATTTAGCTATTACAATAAATTATGGTTATGAAATATAGCATGAAATATAGCCGGTGCTTTTTTCTGCATTAAATGTAAAATCTTCCAATCGCGGCTCACTTCCAAACAATAATTTAGATCTAAGAGAAACAATTATTCAATTATATACAAAATCAAATATTGATAAAATTTTGAATATGAATAAAAAAATTCTTTTTAAACTATATTCTTTTTAAACTAGATTTTATGTTTCAGTACAAATATGATTGCGATAATGTAACAGGTTTTTTTTAATAACTATTAGACTGTTTTTTTATAATTAAAAAATACAAAAATATATTTTTTGCTTGTAATTTGAGCGTCAGAAAAAAATATATGGAAGGTACACCAGTGCTCCATTTGAGTCAAAGGGTTAAAAAATAGCAAATTGTTTAAAGTGGCTGAACTTTAGAACAAAAGTAGTTTTAACAAATAAAACCGTAAAAATATCATTATGAGTTCTGCAGTCCAATGCTTATTTTTTACCTTGTTCAAGAAATTTATTGATATGATTTCGCAGTTCATGTTAGGTGTTTTTATTCATAAAATCTATCTCTGTCCCGCGAAACTAAAAATAGCCTATAGAGAAGCAGGGCGTGAAATGAGAACAAAATGATGTACTGCTCTAGTATAAAAGTATCAGATCAGTATTAGTGACTACACTTGCTGTTACGGAAATTGAATTGAAAATTTGGTCGATGAAAAAAATCAAAATAATAAATGCTGCACAAATGTCGTTAAATTGCTGATTTAATATCAAAAGTAAACAATGCGAGTCTTGACATTTATACCCAAAGATATGATGAATTTAAAATGTTTAATTTATAGATAAACTAGTATATAAAAATAACGCCAAGTAATTGTTATGATCTTATTATTAATAATCTAATATTTCTATTTATTAATAAAACTTAACACAAAGTTTATTAATTATACGAAACAAGTATTGAGTTTATGGTGTGTTTATTGTTGAATTTATGGTGTTATTTGATAAATTTGTAATGTGTTTTGTTATTTATTCGATTACTTTATAGTTTTTAGTAAAAATTTATGATAAACAGTGAAATCTGCGTAAGTTGATCACTAGCAGTGCATTGCTTCAGTGGCTCATATTAACATGTTTTTCCATAAAGCTTCTTTGTATATGTATATATATATATACAGTCAGTCAAATCCCGCTATAGTGAACACGGTTTATAGTGAACTCCCGGATATAGTGAATGAAATGTTCGGTCCCGTGCCTTACTATAACGTATAATGTTATTTATATATACATATATATAAATTTTTCATGTTTTCTCTATATTTTTAAATTTTTTTACGAGTTCTATATACTAGTAGTTTACGCGCAGTAAATAAAACTTTTTAAATTTCTTAATTTTTATCTTTTTTGTCTTTAATGTGCTATATATATATGCTGAATTATTGATTGTAATAAAGTTTTTTTATTCTTCTAGAACTCTATTCGCCACAACCTGTCGCTCAATAAATGTTTCATAAAAATACCTCGAAGCAAAGATGAACCTGGAAAAGGAGGATTCTGGAGGCTTGATCCTCAATATGCAGAATCACTTGTAGATGGAATTTTTAAAAAACGGAGACCGGCACAACGCCAAGCGGGCAGTGGAGCAGCGAAGAAGTGCAGACGTGACAACAAACTGAAAGGGCAAAACGACACATTAACAAGGGTCTTAGAGACATTTCAGCAAGACACTCCACCCAGTTCAGCCGGATCTCTGGTATCGCATTCTGAAGTTGAGTTAATGGCGGATTTGAAGCCATTGGCAGTCATGTCATCTTCTCCATCGCAGCAGGAAGTATTCGGTTATGCCAGTGTCAATAATATCTGTGAATTTCAACCAGAGAGACTTCTTCTACAGCCACACAATAACAAAATGCCACAATCTACTACTCTCAGTCAACAGGACGAGGAAGTTCTTCAAACGTTGGAGCCTTTGCCTCACTCTAACATTGCGAATAACGGATTGAGAGTGGCTCATACCGCAATCATGAATGGGCAGTCAAATAATGATTTGTGCTGGAATGAAGTTCTCGGCGATCCTGACTTGGAGCTGGAGAGCCTGTATAAATATCGCCCAGAAGATTCCATTTCCTCTGTGGTAAACACAGCTCTGGCACTCAATGATGATCTGTTTAGCTCAGATGGTAGCAGTTCAGATTTGCCAACAGAGTTGGATCTGGTTTCTACAGATCAATTGGACATTACTAATGGAAGTGGTCATGCAATGCAAACGACAACAGACTGGTGGGGTTTTCAACACCCCTCTCTGGATGTGACCCTTACACCCCTGCTCAGTATTTCAGTGCCATTTGGTACACCCGGTGCAACGCCTATTTCCACCACCAACGCTGTAATTGGGAATAATAACAATGGTATCTTTATCAATGGATACGTTCAGAATGCAGCCTCTTACGTGGTAGACAGGCCTCCAATTCAACAGCAGCAAGATGCGCTGCAAAATCAGCCATGGGCCGAGTGCAAGGCAGCTTTGGAAGCTGCAGCTCTCGATCTTGACGACCTCAGTGATCTGGATCATGTCCACGTATACTGATGAATACAGCGTCGTTTACTCTAGTATTATGAACTGTTTGTGAAAATATTTTGCTTTTCAAGTGCCGTGATTTTCTTCACGACGGATACCACTTTTGACCATCTGCAAGTACATCCGTCTTAATTGACAATCGAGAGATTAAGAGATGATTCTCGTGATACTAAACTTGTACTGTCTCAAGCTCGTGTTTTAAAGTTGAGTCCATCTTTAGAATGTGTTTGTTACGGAGTGAAATGCTATGGAATGTAAGGAAAATGTATCATTTGCCATAGAGATTTTTGCTGTTACCATTCTAATAGTTATAGCATTTATAACATTATTAAAATTGAATTCATATAATATTTTTATGTACCGTTTACAAGAAAAAATAAGAATAAGCACTATACAAATTAAAAAATTATAACTAAATTAAATAGTTATATAATACCAAAATTTAGATACTCTTCTTGTGGTACTCAGGTCATTGCATTTACTAAAGTTTAGGGTTTAAAAGAAATAAAGTAACATCAGTGCTGAAGGAGAAACATAATTATTGAACTAATTCTTTTTCTTCTATCATAAAAATGTTCAGAAATGAAATAAGTTATTAACATATCATGTTGCCCGTCCATAATAATACAAATTTTATGCTTCAGAAATTTATTGCAGTTTATCCGTCCATTTTAACATTAATAATAATGGAAGTAATTTTTAGGTATAGCTTGTTATAATATTAATTGATGAAAAATATCAAATGTTATATCAATTTATAAAAAAAGCTAATTAATACTTCGTTCAAACGGCCGTCCATATATATATTTCATAACTAATCCTACAATAAGAGAGAGAGAGGGTTTGCTACCATAGGGGTAATTTGGTGTTTTAATAATAATAATCATTGCTGAAGGCAAATGCCTCCACTATTAGACCATATAAAGGTGATTCACTATTTGTCATAGTTTCAGTGTAGTGACAACTTTCTGAAGAGAATTGAGAGCAAAATTGATTTAAAGTTAGACAGGAAAAAGAAGAAGAAAAAAACATTATTAAGCTGATGGCTTTTAAACTAAAGGCGTAATTTAATATTTCTTAAAATTTATTATTTGCGCTAAATAAAAACAAATTAAATAAAAATGTATTATTATAACTACATTTATAAATAAATAATCGCCAGCAAAATATAGGCTTACGTATTTTTTGTATTTAGATAGTTCAAAGTCATCCAACCTAAAGTCCATCAACTAAAATAAAATCATTTATATTATTTTATTAGAATAATTTTTCAATAATTAGAATGCCAGAATTTGATTAGAAATAGATTTTAAAAATTGATTTTTTAAAAATTTTGTTCCGTAAATTTTATTTTTTCATTAATTTTACTGATGTCACACGAAACTGTCTTATAATAATAAAAATAAAAACTAGCGTATTAAAAATCAGCAATATATTAATCAACTAATTATCATGTTCTATTTTAATTAATGATGAATACGTCCAATAGTTAAATGTAATAAAATTAAGAGTTATAATACAACCAATTTTTATGAAATAACTGTTATACTTTAAATGATCTGTATTAATCCATTCTAATATTTTCGATATTGTAAAATACCTAGCCTTAACAGTTAATACTGTAACAAATATCAATTTAAATATTTGTTGCATTTAAATTCGTTCATTAAATAGATATTTTAACATCAACACCATTAAAAAATCGTTAATAATACATACATTTATAGAAATTAATTCCTCTCATTAAATACTACTAATACGATGTAACGGATTATGATAACGGAGCAAATATCAAAATAAATAAATTGCTAAAATCCGTCCATTTATGCAAAGAAGTTATTATAGTTATAAAAAGAATATGACAAGCCTATTCTTGTAAAAATCTACAATCACGAAGTATAAACAATTTATATCACTAAATATATAATTATGTTAATTTTATTTATGATACCAGGTTGTTTAATAGTGAATCAAAATTGTCAACTCAAATGCAATTTACTATTTTTTTTTGTATATGAATTCTTAAAATAAAGGAAGCTATTTCGATGAAGATATAGTTTCTATGTTAAGCTTTATCAAAATTTAATTTCTTTATTTTTTATTTCATCGTTATTGATGTTTGGGTTTACGGAATCACTACCCTGGATGTATGTTTTTAGAATCATTCTTAGAAAGGAAGTCATAAGAATATACACACAAGGACAGGTTGAAAAATAAATATGTTAGAAAATAGACAAAAGCTATTTTCATGTCTGACGAATAATCATCCAAATTCACCCAAATCACTGCATAAGAGGAATTTTTTTTTTCTCGCCATATTTATCATCATACTGAAATCTTTTGCTCTCCCTTCTCCATCTCGAATTTTGGAGGACGCTAAAAAATTATTTGGACGGCACCAGGGCCTGATTATCGCCTAGACCCAATAGGCATGGGCCTAGGGCCCACGATTTCTGAGGGGCCTCAAAAAAATAGTAAAAAGTCTAATGAAAGATGGGCTAGTTTTGGATTGGTTTAAGTACTGAATAAAAAAATAATTACCGCTTACAATAAAAAATAATTCAGCTAATTAGTGACTTTTAGCACAAATCACTGATTTTAATTGTTTGTGTTACCAAACTATTTTTATTTTGACATAACATCGTTTTGTTGTTTTATATTTTGCTTTAATTTATAGATACGTAAACATTATCTTAGAAAAATAATATTCAATTGCTTTCAAAATTTCTTAGAACGTGTCTCTTGAATCATGCAGTTCAAGATTCTTTTTATTGCTAGCACTTTTCTTCAGTAATTTAATTTCATAATATTTAGTATGGGGCCCGGAAAATTTGGTGGGCCATGGGCCTGAATTTGTCTTGATCGGTCACTGCGGCAATCACGCAAAAATAAAGAATCTTCAATCTAAAAACAGAAAACTGAATTATACCAAATTACAAATTGAAAAATGCTGTAAGATAAATTGTATTGGAGTAATTTTTTCAGCAAAAAATGAATAAAGAATACAAAATACTACACATCCTATAACTCAAATTTTGTTTATATGACGACCTTGTATTTTACATGAGCCGAGCAGAGTAAATAACAGCCATCAACTTATTTGTGAAAATTAAATATAAAAGATTAAAGGCATATTTAGAATTTTTCCTCCAGTCCCTTTCTACCCTGTGGAATTTTTAGTTTTTTTTTTTGCGGGGTGGGGGGAAAGAAAACCTTTTAAAACTTTTGTTAAACAAGCCTAATAAGCCAGGTTTTTGACAATTTTGATTCCATTATCAATAATGATTCAACAAATTTTGACGTTTTCTCCCCTCCAATTAAATGTTAATTTGCGATTCTTAATGCGTAGGATTCAATGACTTTCTTTTTATCAAGGATTATAAAAATATATATATTTATAGGGTGATAGTTAAGGAAAAGCTATTTGTATATTGGAAAACGATATGTTTTGAATTTTTAGTAGTATGGACATCATTCCGTATTACAAATGATTGCTCAAAGGCGGTCCAGTGGTTGAAAATCACAGCTTTATGTGTGTAAATACAGTATATATATACATACATATATAATAATTATAAATACATGTAAAACTCCTTGTGTATGTTGTGAATCAGTAGTAAAGGCTTCCAAATGTTGTTCAACAACTAACCCTTGGCTCAGCAATCAGTTTGTGTTGTATGATTATCCAATTTACCACAAAATTACAGTAGATTTTTAAAAGATATTGGATAGAGGATTGGAGAATTGAAAATGTACATTTAATTTAATGAACTGTAATAAAATTTTTGATGGTGGCCTTTAGTTTTGAAAATAAATAAAATACATAAAGTAACTTTAAGGAACTATATATATAAAACTGTTATTTTGACTTTATTTTTCACAAAAGTGACTTCTGGAACTGAATAATTTATTTCGAACTGTAAGTAAAAATTATGAATTGAATTGAAATTAGATTTGTCAGCAAGAACACAATTGATGCATGTAAATTTAAAATGCATCGATTTTAAATAGAAATTTTTTTAGAAACATTCCCCGACATATAATTTTTGGAGCTTGCTTCTAAATGATTTGACGATACCAAATTTAATTGGTTTTTATCTTAAGAGAAGAGTCGAAATATTCTATTCTTCTCTTTAAGTAATAAAAAAATGATTCTGTCTTGAATTAAAATGTTTTGAAAACAAACTTTTATTTCAATACAAAATACTTTTTAACACTGAACCAACAGTATTTTTATTATAACTATTTTACCAAAATAAAAATTCATACGAATTAGACATTTTGAGAATACGATTGGTGCATTTTAAACAGAATGATCAAATTAAATTCAGCAAGAATGTTCCCTGAGTTTCAAAATATCTTAAATAGCATTTTATTATTTTTTGAAATTTTAACTTTTCTTATTGTAGTCTGTTTTCCGATAGAATTAATTAAAAAATTGATGAAGTAATTATTATTAACTAAAGAATAATGACGTCACATGAAAACTATGTTCCAGAAAGTTGTTCATTTTTCAAATTTTTTTTTTATTTTTCAAAAGTTGAAAGGTTCTGCAGCGAGCTCCAAAAGTTCCATGTTGTGGGCCAGGTTCAATTTTTAACTCAGAATTTGTTTCTTGTGTCTTATTTTACTAAAAATTATCACTTGAAAGTCAGAAAGGGAAAAAAAATGGCTTTAATTAATGGTTTTAATAAACGGTGCACTCGAAAGCCGTTTTCTGACAAGGAAATCAAAACTTTCGTTTTAGAACAAAATAGGTTTATTTTTATTTAAGCTTATTACTGTTAGTAAGATATTTATAAGTTAGTAAGATAGGTATTAACATTTATTTAAATTTTTTTCCCAACATTAGAATGCATCAAAACATCGTATTAAAAAATTGTTTAATTAAAATCAAAATTTTCCAAAACTTATTAAACTTGTAAGTTAAGACCAAGACCAAAAAGTGTCTTGGTATTTTTGACTTTATTTAAAGAAAATCTCCTTTAAAATTTAAATAATTCTGAAAAAAAAACGAAATTTTAGAGTCGTTTGTAACAGTTCTATAGCTTTAAATATTTTTCAATATAAGACATGAACATACTTCTTAGATTATATAGAATTCTAAAGCGTTAGTTACTTTTATTACTTTTTTTATACTAAAGATTAAAATTTTTTAAAAACTAATTCTCTTATTCTATTCTTCTTCTTAAAACTAATTCTTAATTCTATATGAACAAAGAGGAGTAATATGTATGAATAATAATGAAAGGAAACAACGAGAAAGGCGATCTAAACATTACAGAATAAATTTTAAGGCAAATGACAAACAATAATTAAAAATTCAAATTGATTTCTTGATTAGTTTTCTGTCAACCAATTATGAAACGCCAAAAAATGCTTTGAAACATGGTTTCAATTATTTATCAATGATTGTTCTTTTTGATTGAAAAGGAGTTTCAAGTAACTCTAATAAACAATTAAAAAAGAAAACGATTTTTTCCAGAATCTTTTTCACTTTTAATGTTTAAAAGTGAAAACGATTATGAAAGAAAAAAAATTTGGATTCTAAATAATGTGAAATCATAAAGTTCAAAAAAAAATTTTTTTTCTTTCAATAGGCTCTTTTTTTTACCAGTCCATCAATAAAAAATTTTTGATATCCTAAAAGGAATGAAACTAATGCAGGGCGAAACAGTATTTGTGTAAATTGAATGTTATGAAAACATATTTGAACAACTTGTTTGTTAGCTTAGATGTAAATAAATAGCCAAGGTTTTCGAAATTTTGATACATTGCAATAATGCTCAAGACGTCAAGGGTGTTAGTTGTAATTTTCATCAGTATAGTGTTTAAGAGGAATTAAATCCTTTTACCTTTTCCTTGTGTGTGTAGAATAAAAAGTGTTTCACAATTTGTATGAAATTTTTACTTTAATAGCGTGTTATTTAATATCTTAGCTTTTCAATTTTCTCATAGCGATTTAATAATACCACAGTTCTGAACTTACGAAAACTAATTTCATGAATAAATCATTTGAATTTTTCATAATTTTGACATTATTTATTGAATTTTAAAAAAATGTTTTTGAATATTGCTTCTCATAAAAAATTTGTATAAAATCTTACGATATTTCATTTTCCTAATGGTTATTGAGTAAATTTATTAGATTTTAAATAGAACTTATTCTGCTATGAAGTTCAATGTTTATTAAGAAAAATTTATTTAACACTTTTCAATAGAATTTTACTATTTTTCATAAGTTAAACAAAAAAGAGTAATTACTAAGTACTACAAAATTGAAAGTACTTATCATAAAATAGAATTTTTTTTATTTACTTCTTAGAATAAAAATTAAAGTAATTTTTACAAAATAAAGAAAAAATTAGTGTTGTTCAAAATTCTAATAACCTTTTAAGATGCTATACTAATTTTAAAATGCACTCGGTTCTCTTTGCTTTTTAATAATTACTCATGTGTATAAAAAAATAATCTTTTTTTCCCCCTTTTTTTGTTCAACAAAATTACCTCAATTTAAAATGTAATAATTTTGTAAGTTTTAAAACAACAATTACATTTCCAAAAAAAAAATAAAGCTTTAAAGAGAGAAAAAATAACCTTAAATAAATATTTTTAAATAGAATGAAACAGTTTTAAAAATTTAAAGTTGTCAATTTTATATATTTTAGAAATAAAATTTAGAATGAGCATACAGCATATTATAATTTTCAGAAAAATAGCCAGAATTTTGTACTATTATGAGTGTTAAAAATCATATTTTTTGCTCAGAGATACATTTATAGCTTCTAGTTCATCATGCTTAACTACTGCGTAACATCGGACGCTAAAATTTGAAAGCGTGCATGTATATAAATTGAAAACACCCATCATACAATAGAAATAAAAAGGTCAAAAACATTTGGAATAAAATAACCATGCTCCAAAGTTAGAATTGTACTGTTAAAGCAAATTAATCAAGTTTTAAAAAAATATTGATGTAAAGCTTCTGTGTTACGCAGTAGATATCAGTAGTCAGTATCTTTTTCCTTCGAACAATAATTTCTACTTTCAGCACATCTTGAAGTTTTCTGCAATTGTATTTTAAACTTGACAAGTAAATAATAATCTTTGTGTATTTAATTTTTCAAATATAGCATTTGTCTCTTATAAAACAGAAAGAATTTATTACGCTCCAAAAAATGCTCTTTCTGATGATATTAAGTGTGTGATTTTTAATAATTGTATTTATTGTCGTTCTAGTTGAGAAATAAACTGTTAAATAAATTCAAAGGTGTATGTGTGTAATTTTTAAAAAAAAATTAAAACAAAAAAACAATGAAGCAAAAAAAATACTGAAAAGTATTAATAAGAAAAATTAGAAGAACAGAGTGTATAATGAGGACAATCACATAATTTAAAAAGTACACATTTCAGCAGCAATTGGATCAAAGGACCCACTGTAAATCTAAAAGGCTGAATCAAGGTTAATGAAATTAACTTCAAAAATAAAAGTTCTCACAAGCAGAATCAAAAAAGCCAAACTTCAATTTATTTAAACAATTGATATCAATTACATTACTTTTCTTAATTATATTACTTTATACACTATGTCCAGTACGTACATGTTTTTACAAAAAAAAATACAGGCAAACAAGCACTTTAGGTTCATTGATTTTATAAACAAATTATAAAAATCCTACAATAATTTGTTAATTCAATATTTTTTCAAGAAAGTAAAATTAAATTCTTGCAAATTATAAGGTTCTAAGCAAATAATTGGTGGAAAATAATATTTTACAATGTAAGTTAAAAGCAAATAGATTGTTTTTAATGTGTTTCAATTTATATAGTTAAGTTATTTTAATGTCTCTGATAAACATAATTTTAATACTCAGTAAAATTACAAAACTCATTAAAATTATTTCATAAGAATAAGAAAGTAAAAATTAGTTTCATAAGGCCAGATTTGCAACATTTATTTTTTTATAATTTGTATGACATCTTCATGGTTAACAATATGAGACAAGCCAACTCTTTGGGGACTGTATTTTGTACTAGTACCCTGCAAAAAAAATCATATAATTAAATAAAATAGCAAAAAAGTAAATACAGTGAAACCTCCAGTTATGGACACTCCTGCAAAATGGACACCTCTCAAAACGGACATATTTTTAATTCCCCGTGAATCCTCTATGAATAAACCCTTGTGTACATTCTCTGCGAAGCGGACACTACCGTTGCCGGACGCGGACAGTCATTTTTGCCTTGAAAAGTTGTTTTCTATCTCTTTAAACCGGACACTACTTTTTCTAAATTAAAAAAAAAAACTGTTTCCGCTTTAAATTGAAAGAAAAAAAATGCAACTTTTCACCATTTTTAAAGCATGTAAATTTTTTGCCTTATCCATAACTAAAAATATAGTTAAGCTATTTCTCTACTAAAGAATCAATCTTTCTCTTGTCACCTTGCCTTATCTTTGAAAAGAAAGGAGAGAAAATGATACAGCTCTTGTGAAATAATTCGAACAATGGCATCTTTTGATCTTTTCATCAGGACCACACAGGTTATGAGAGCCCTCAATTTGAAATGTCTCAAATGCTTCTTCCCCACTAAAAATTTGAATCTTATCAATTTGAAGACTGTATTTAACACAGCTGGGGTAAAAAAAGGAAACAAAAGTATAATCTTTGAGTTGTTCATATAAATGAAACATTTAGTCAGACACTTGATAGATGCTCAGTTGTGAATAAACAACTCCATGGGTCTTCATGCCTTACAGGTATGCATTGCTTTTTTTCTTCTTCTGCACATCATAGGAGGTTTACTTTCAAGGAGGTATAAACCACCTTACCTATCAAGTGATAGGGAGGTGTTAAGGGTGTAAACCTAAAAATTGGAACCAACTGAGGACTAAAAGCTCCTATTCGGTATCACATGACTAACTTGAATATCTATCTAACTAATAGGAAAATATTAATTTATCTGTAGTTACATCAAGAATTATGCATTTATATCAATCTTTTTCATGTATTCTTTATTGAAAAAAAAGTATTTTTTGAAGTTTAAATAAATATCCTTGTAGATAGTTTCTGTAGATAATTTAAATATTTCTATATCCTTGAAAATAATCTAAAAACACTTACGGTGTTAAACTTCGTTATTAGAGTACCCTTCTCGTAAACAGACAACTCTCATAAACGGACAATTTTTTCAATCCCAAGAATGTCCGCTTAACCAAGGTTTCACTGTATTTTATTTATCATAACACATTAACCAAAAAGAGGGTTCTTGCATTTACATTTCAGCTATGGAACTATAAACAATCAAGTTTCTTTTGGCACAGTTATTATCCCAAACAATAATAATGAAAAAAAGCTCAATAGCAGCTGTGAATGTAACAGAAAAAAATACTATTGCTTCGGAATATACAATGAGGTGAAAAATAAAATATCTTACATTTGTTCTCGGTTTATGCATATGTTTACAATAAACAAATTAAAAATTGAATTATGACTTTCAAAAAACTACAGTTTTGAATTGCTTAATATTAACTGCTCAAAGAAAAAAAAAAGAAAAAAAGATCTGGTGAAGTAAATAAAGTATCCGGGTAATAAACAATATAGAAAAAAAATGAGCAAAATGCTATAAACAAAAAAAATAATGAGTAAAATCGATATAAATAAANAGTTTTGAATTGCTTAATATTAACTGCTCAAAGAAAAAAAAAAGAAAAAAAGATCCGGTGAAGTAAATAAAGTCTCCTGGTAATAAACAATATAGAAAAAAAATGAGCGAAATGCTATAAACAAAAAAAATGAAGAAAAAATATAATGAGTAAAATCGATATGAATAAAATAAAACAGCATGAATCAACTAGTGGTATCTGTTCATCGAATTATCACAGATAAAATTCTGGAAGGGGAGTAATATGGCGTAACTACCACTATAAATATTAAGTACCAATTCCCTAGTATATAAGACATGTTAACTTGAATCCATCTTGAGGTACCTTTTGATAGATGAAGGTTCACATAGTCTATAATAAATCTCCACAAGAGAAATATTCTTGAATTTGAATATTTTATTTCATTGAAAAAAAATTTCTTTGAACTTTTACTACTTTTTTTAATTGATGTTACATAAATAATTTCATAAAAGCAGGCAAAGTAATAAATAAGTCATGGATTTTTTATTCTGATTTATATACGAGGGTTGTAAATTAAATAGTGGCAACTTAACCTTGAAACTTATAGAAGGGCGGGCATGCGCAAATGGGATATGGGAGCGGTGAGGTGGTGCTGTTGTCGATGTGTAGAGTGCTAAAAACAGTCGATCTGCTTAGAAGGGTAGTTGTTGCGTGGCGTTAAAGTGAGGAGTTTCGTTTCCATCGCTCTAAAGCATGCTTTCAAAAGACTTGATGACGAGATGCTTGAACCCATAGTGCTACTGTCCTATACTGTAAAGCATTTGTGCCACAGGCTTCCACTAATCCTCGATAGCATTCTGTTGCATTTTTGCCACGGGCAACCTCGATTTAAGCCACAACCGCTGATCACCTTTTGAAAACACGCTTTGGAGCGATGGAAACGAAACTCCTCACTTTAACGCCACGCAACAACTACCCTTCTAAGCAAATCGACTGTTTTTTGCACTCTACACATCGACAACAGCGCCACCTCACCGCACCCATACCCTATTT